TATTTTAAATGGTATTTTATATATTTATGTATTTTATATATTTTAAAATCTAATTCCTTATTCTGTTTATATTTTGACAGCTGGATTGAGTGATCTAACCCAACTTTTTTTTGCTTGTTTGCCAACTTTTATTTATCCTGAAAATTCCTGAGTTTCAATAATTTTTCCTTGGTGTTTTTTATCGAGGAATTATTAGAAGTTGCTGTTCTTACAGACGTAAATGGAGCGTAAACGAATTTTGACATAGCATAGCGTTACGGTAAGACATCCGCTAACTCCCGTTAGGTAGCGGGCGGCTCGGCTAACGCTAAGTGCGCGTTCACATTGACACCGCTCGAGCGGTGAGCGTTGCGCGATGCCGCTGTAGTGATGCCCAAAAATAATTTTAACATTATATTTCAAATCAACATGTTCGCACTGGATCGGTGCATTGCGCGGTGTTAACATGTTCATTTGAAATATAATGTTAAAATTATTTTTGGGCATCGCTACAGCGGCATCGCGCAACGCTCACCGCTCGAGCGGTGTCAATGTGAACGCGCACTAATACCGTAAGAACTATCATACTTGTCAAATAACGTTACGGTATTTGAAATTTGGACAGCACGAGAACTCTCTAATACCTGAATTATTCTGAATTGTGTGTTTTGGAGTGACTCCGAGGAGCTCTAGAGCGACACGTTCGGTGTAACTCGATGTATAAAAGGAATACAGTAATTGCTACAGTGCACGCTCGCTGCCCACTGTCATGTTCATTATTCCTCTTCCAAAGTCCAGTTCAGAGGAGTTACAGTAAGTAAAAAAAAAAATGTTTTTGTATAATGGGGGAAGGAAGGGGGGCGCGACCACTCCTTGATTTCAGAAAGGGGGGGCAAAAGAAAAAAGATTGGGAACCATCCATTTACATTGTAAATGGATATGTGCTACCGCCATATGACAAACACGTCAATTTCAAAACAAATTGGACTTCGAAGTTAATGTAAATGAACCATAAATGTAAACAAGTATAAGCAGGCCCTGCGATCTCTCATTGCCAGTAATAAACCACATAATTAGTTTTCTCCCTTTTTCTAGATGTCGCTAACAATAACAGAATTGTAAAATACCAGCACATCAAGGACACGTCCGTTGTCAATAACATTGACATATCAACATATGACAATATGCCAAAATATTCATTTAATCATAACTAATAAAGCTGGGTTCTAACAGAAATTTAATTTAATTTTATATTAATATAATTTAAGATTTAATGTAATTTTACTTTGTAGCGTTCATACAGTAATTTTTTAACTGATATAGAAAAATGTCATTATCCGTCATCTGCCTTGTCAAACTGATGAAAATCAATGATCAACCTCAAATTTAATTTAATTTAATTTTAAAAGATAAAAGTTGGCCAACTTTTAAATTAAGTTATATTATGTCTTAAATTAAAATTTTGTATGAACGCCGTCATATGGTATTGCATAGTAAACTTTTGCTTTTCGTTTTTCTTTGTGTTGTCAAGTGTTTTTAAGTGATTTCAAAGTTGTTTTGTGTGTTTTACGAAGACCTTCAAACTTTATAGATTGGAAGATCTATTTTTATCTTTGTTGATTAGATAAATGACAAGTTCAATTAAACATCAATTAGAACTTTGAATAAATATGTTAGGAGGGGCGTCAGATAAGAGCTAGCGCGCCATCTTTTGGGCTTTATGACATACATTGAATATTTTTTAATCACAGGTGTTCAAATTTTCTGTAAATGATTGACTTATTTACAAGTTGATGGCGACATCTTCAATATCAATTCGTTTACACAGTAATTTACAGTGGACTAAATAATTTTATTCAGATACAAATGAAATAATAGTATTTCACATTTTTAGCTAGGTAAAACAGTTTTTACTGGCGTTTAAAAAAAGTGACTACCCTTCCCGAACTCAGCGACATCTTTTAAAGAAGCGCTGAACACACGTTTGGTTTGAGTCTTTGCTGAAAATGACAGCAATCACCTCGTTGTTTGGCAGATTTTGATTAATTTTGTGATACAAACATTATAATTTTCGAAAATTCTGTTCTATTCATTTTTTCCAGCATTTTACTATCTGAAATTTTGGAAATTTATTGTTGGTGTGCTACTCTATATGTTTATCCCTTTTTCATTTAAATCCGTGACCAAAATTTGCATATTGTTGTCAACAAAATTGGTAATAATTTTACTATTTAGAATGCGTATTTTGCAACCAAAAATGCTTCGAACGATACTCCAATCTATTATTGTTATGAACATAACTTCATTTCACTGAGAAGTGGTCCAAATTTGGAATTGAACAGAAATTTGTGAAGGTCTGTAAATGACATTTTATTTAAACGCCCCTCTTAAGGATACCCTTAACCATCAATAAAGAAACTGTTTTTTGATCTAATTAACAAAAAATCAATTAATTTAAGTGAAAATTAATGTTCCAAAGTCTAGAATAAACGAATAAACAAATTTGAACATCCCGATAGTACTGAGAACAGGGCGCCATCTCTCATAAAAATGCCTTAAAGCACTATGTAAAGTAGGTGTCTGTAGTGTCGATGCAAAACCAGTGAATAGTTAATTTTCCAATATAGTAGATGGCGCTGGCTTGGCTCAATTTTGTTGTCAAAAAAATTTACACTAAGATTACATTCTTGACAGTTTATATAGTATTTATCTCTGAATATAAGTTTTAAAAGGTGTAAAGAAAGAATATAATAAATGAAACAGAAAATTCAATGGATTTTCAAAATGTAGAAATTTTGACAATAGAAAGCAATTTTTCAAAGACATGTTTTTTAGAGATGTGTTATATAAACCAAGAAAATGACTCTATGAATAAAAGAACAGATATTAATAGTTATTTATGTATCAAGGGAATTATGAGGGTGTTAATACCCCAAGGCAAAATCTGACACCAATTGCCCGTGGGTATTATCAACACCTGATAATTCCCGTGGTACATAGATAATTTTATTTCCTACTGAATTTACTGTATTTTGTCCATTTTTATAAAGAAATAAACCATAAACCAAAATTTCTATTTTTTGTCAAACTTTCACCTATTCAAGGTAAAAGCGGGAATTATGGAAATCCTTAACTCCCTTGGGAGTTATGATATCCTCAACTCCCTTGAGAGTTAAGATCCTGTTTATGATTATCGTAACCAAGGTATTATATGGTTAAAATAGTTCAGTAGGAAATAAAAACCTAAATATAATATTTTTAAATTTATTACATATAGATTTAAAAAATCGAAATAATAGCGATACTCAGATCCATTAAAGGCCCAAATGTTCCGACTAAATTCAAATAAACCATCTACCTTTTAGCATTTCAAGCTTTCTTTACACCTTTTAAACCTTATATTTGTGACATATTGTCAACTACTTAAGTAAATACCACTCTGTACATCAATTTTACTAAAGTGTGGCTAGTGCGAACTACCTCTAATGGGAAAAGCCCTTCTAGCTAAGTCTCCTCCCAGTGCAAACTACCTTTAATCGGAAACGCCCCTCTGGGAGTATTGAACGCAGCAGACTAGGTCCAGTGCAAACTACCTTTAATGGGAAACGCCCTTCTGGACCTGTCTCAAATCTAGTTTCAGTCTTCATTCACGCCAAGTGTACAGAGGGTACATAATTAATACAGAGTGGCCCTTAAGTAGTACGTCCCTCCGTAGAAGAGACGTAATGATACCATTTCTAGGGTAATAACTATTATTAATCAATACACATCTTATTATACCAATACCAAGCGAGTTTCTCTCTACCTGAATCACGCTCCTGTTGTGACGTCTACACTCTTATACAATCTTAATGAAATGTATATTAAATAAGTACTCATAATACTATGACTGAAGAAGCAATAAAAAATATTGCGAAAACTTTCTTTTAATAACTGGCTTCATCCCCTCTAATAATAACATATTCATATATGAAATAATACGCAGTAAAGGGAATTTATCAAAATCACTAAATCTTTAGAAATAGGCTTTTACTATTCATCATCTTATAAAATTACCCAATTTATGGCTCAAAGTTCTAAGGAATATTGCTTTAAAGTAACTTAAATTATCTGTCCAAAAAAAAACAATTAAGTTTTGTGAAAGGATTTTACATTCCTCTTTTGGCGGATTTTCAATTGAAATAAAATTTTTGCGAATTTGAGGATTTTTATTCAAATCTATCGCCTGAATACGTTAAATTGAAAGCAAATTTCGAGCACACAAGAAAAATTGAAAAACGGCGCAGCTAGGAAATTTGAATATTGCTGGAAGAAACAATCGCGACCGCACTATCGGAAAATGGGTATTCGAGTGCGACTAATTTTATATTATTCACTCAACGGGAAAAAATTTGATTAATTTTTCGAGTCATATTCTACTTTAAATTGAAACAAAAAATAATATGTTTTCGTAATCCTCATAGCGGGAGAAATCCTAGGGTTTAAGTTGTTCCAGTAAACGAAATTATAATCCATAATCAGAAAATCCTTAAGCTTGAAATGTAATTAATTTTGTAAATTTTCATTTTGGTGGATTTAAAAAGTTTCTTCTATAAAAATGATTGTCTTCTTACATCCCTAATAGCCCATTTAGATAAGCAATTTATATCAGTATAGTTCATACTTTACATGTAAACAGTGTTCACAATAATTGCCTAGCTCCTTATTATAACTCGATTCAATTCAAGATTATATACATACACGGATGATTTATCGATAAACAACGCCTTGCATTGATTAGGTTTGAATGTACCAGGTCAATATGGATGAGATTCCACCCAGAACAAACGCTTGATTGCAATTTAGTGCCGAAAGTGGATGTCAACGGTCGAATAATGCACGGCTATTTAGTCTAGGGAGGGCATAAATTTGCAAGAATATGCAAAGTGTCGACTTCTGAAAATTTATTATGGCCTCACTTTAATCTAACATAGTACACTTTATTTTTCCGTTTATGATACACATTTCTTTTTTGATTGCAGGCTCCAGCAATGACATTACCATAATCGCATTAAAAAAAAAAATGAACAACAGCTCAGATATACTTAATAGTACAGACTTTGGGAATACAACTGAAAATGCATTGTTCGGCGAAACTAACGAGACCGGCTATATACCGTACGATCAAAGGCCGGAAACTTACTTTGTTCCGGTGTTGTTCTTTCTGATTTTCGTAATCGGCTGTTTGGGCAACGGGACTTTGGTCGTCATTTTTCTGAGGCACAAGACGATGAGGAATGTACCAAACACGTAAGTAGATTTTATTTTTCCATTTTATAAATACCAAAGTTCAGTTGCACTTAAGCTACATTGTTTGCTTGACAAAAACAAACATGGCATTTCATAGAAAGTTCAATATTTGTCTTTCTGTAAACTAAAATTAACTAGATGATGAGAAACTTTATAATAATACTATTTGAAAAGTAAGAAATGTTAGGTTGATTTTGAAAACTCTTCACCTGAATATGTCTGCAAGTTCTTAAAGGAGTAAATACATACAAAACAAATTGTATTTTGATTAAGACCCCCAGTAATCGATTTAAATTATTGCCCGTTTGAGCATCTCGGTCTCATTTCCTCCAGTAATTCGGTATTAAATCGTTTCCGGCGTAAATTAAATTAAGGTCTCAAGGGCTTATGAACCTGCACAATAAATTGTTTTTTTCGTGACAGTAAACAAAAATCTCCTAACACCTTTTAATTGAAATATAAGCTCTGGGTATTTACAACTTTTTGTGTACAATTAATATCAAGTTCATTGGAATGAGATTTCATTAAATTAAACATTAAAAGTTATTTGGTTGTTTTGTAATTTTCATACAAGTTTTTCTGCTCAAGAATTTTGGAGTTGAAGGGTACGCATATTTTTGCTGAAAAATGTGGAATAATTTTTTGATATTTGATGTTTAAGCTATTTTATGTAAATTAATTATTCTGGCTGCAATATTAATTAGATAGTTTTAATAATAGTAGGTTTACACTTTAGCATAGAATGCACACGCTTTGACACTAATTGCAAGTATTCCGGTTACTCAGTAATTTATTTTGGATTCTCCTTACCAGCTGATAAACAGGGTAATAGAATCTTATACACGTGATAATTAGTCGGAGGAAATTTTTGTAATATGATTTTCCGGAAGCTTTTCTTTGGAATTTTGTTTCTTCTTGAAGAAAAAAAAAAGTACTTCATTATCCTTTATAAATTCCAATATTCATGATAAATCAAGCCGAAATAACAAGAGGGTTGTTGTAGTGTGGGTCAAAATAGTAGGTAAATCATTCAACGGATGTCAAAATAGCAAATCCACTCTTAAAGCTATTATTAGACGCATGAGCCTCAAGATCCTTTATTAAATTGTTGAAAAATATTTCGAAAATTTCATAAAAAAAGGGCCATTCACAATTTCTTCTGTTTTTCAAACAACTACTAGAGATCAATGTGCCAAAATTCCAGCTTTCGAAGAATTCAAGTCCGAAAATAAATTAAAATTCTATTTATTCAAATTTTATCATTATTTTGATGGCCTTATTGGCTATGACACTCTGAAAGATCTCAATGTGAAATTGGACCTAAAAATGACTTACTTAACAAATAAAATTGTCACACTATGAAGCAAAGTCAAAACTACTATTTTTTTACTCGAATTGAACCCAACACTATAGAAATATTAAGCATCCCTGTAACAATACTAAATGGGGACATTAGTATTTAGGAAACCTCGTTGTCCAACTGTATTTTGAGAGAATGCTCAACAACTGCGAGCGACGGCTATGCCCCAGTAGAAATTCATAATAATACTGATAGCGTCCGGGAAATATCTTTGTATATCTCGAAGTAGAAAAACAGATCAGTGACATGCTGCAACTAAATATCATTAGACACAGCGATTCTCCGTGGTCCTTACCAATCTGGATCGTACCCAAAAAAGCGGACGCCTCGGGTAAGAGGAAATGGCGTATCGTAGTGGATTACCGGAACGTTAATGCCAAAACCATCGACGACCGTTATCCGACGCCTAACATAATGGACATACTCGACAAATCAGGCCATTGTCAATACTTTTTTACTCTAAACCTCGCGAGCGGATTTCATCAGATAAAGATGCATCCCGACGACATAAAAAATACCGCATTTAATGTCGAGAATGAGCACTACGAATACGTAAGAATGCCCTTCGGTCTCAAAAACGCCCCCGCCACGTTTCAAAGGGTTATGGACGGTGTCCTTAAGGGCCTACAAAACCGAATATGCTTCGTATACATGGACGACATTATTGTCTACTCGACCTCCTTACAAGAACACATGACAAACCACAGATTAACAACTAAAAACGACAGATACAACAATAAACAAATAGTTTGCGATCCAACATCCATAAGGTCGATTTTTGCATGAAATGCCTGGTTGCCAACAATCTGATGTGATTTTCAATATTAAATGTGTTCACAGATAATTATTATTTCAAAATATGTTTTAGCATAATGTTAATGCTTTTTTATATCAATCTTTATTGAAACATAACTTGAGTGCCATTTTTCAATTTAAATTGCTGAAAATTTTAGAATAATCAGGAATATATTGCTCGAAAAATGGCACATCGGCAACGGTGCATCTAGGAGCAGCCAATCAGATAATCTTATGTCACTTATGTCAACGGAATTGGCAGTATTGCTTTGAAGTGATTCCAAGCACATTTCAATATTTCAGCGATAAGAAATTTGACATCATGTTACTCTTGACATTGACGTAGTTAAAGGATCTTTATGGCAATTTATTGTGAGTTAAACTTCTATTGGATTCTAGGAAAAATTCAGAGGAAACTGAACACGCCGCCACTGAACAGTGTTGCCATTTTATAGGTCTATTTCTCTCTTACTTATATCATAGACTTAAAGATGACTGGTTGTAAACATTGGGCGATTTCTAAATGGCATGTTTGGTCTCTAGTTTTATTATTAGTCTAAATCAGTCTTAAAACGACTACGCAAAAGTCACCTAAAAATCTAACCCGATAAATCGGAATTCCTAAGAAAGAGAGTGGCTTTCCTAGGTCATATCGGGACAACAGAAGGCATAAAACCAAATCCAGACAAAATCAAGGCGATACTTAAATACCCGATCCCAAAAACAACAAAAGAAATCAAGGCATTTCTTGGACTTCTGAGCTACTATCGTAAATTCGTTCCGCATTTCGCTAAAATAACAAAACCGTTTACTAATTGTCTCAAAAAGCACGCGACCATTAATGTAAATGATCCCACCTACCTATTATTAACTAACTAGCCGTTGTTGCAATATCCCGACTTCTCAAAGGAATTTAACTTAACTACAGATGCAAGCAACTTTGCCATAGGTTGTGTTCTATCACAAGGTCCGATCGGACAAGATAAACCAATAGCTTACGCATCTAGAACATTAAATTCTGCCGAGCAAAATTATTCAGTAATTGAAAAAGAGCTCTTGAGTATTGTCTGGGGAACGCGCTATTTTAGACCATATTTATTTGGGAGAAAATTTAAAATCGTCACTGACCATCGCCCACTCCAATAGCTAATGAACTTAAAAGAACAGAATTCAGATTCACGCTTAGTTCGATGGCGTCTGAAACTCGAGGAATTCGACTATGAGATGATTTATAAAAAAGGTAAAAACAATACAAATGCTGACGCGCTATCAAGAGTCGAGATAAACGCAAATGAGGTAAATGATACTTCGCCAACATCACCTGAAAATAACGACAACAGCCTTGACTCAAATTTACCGCCTGGTTTGCAATATATGCAAGAATACAACAGTAACCCCGTTCTAGACAACCAGCGGACCCAATGATCAAATTACAGCAGCTTTTGAAAATAATGAAAACAATCTTACAAGTTTTTGAAATCTAATATGATGTAACTGAAGAAGATGTCCCTTGATAGAGTTGTTTGTAGTCTAGCACAATCTTGAGTACTTTTTATACCCCCACAGTACTTCCTTCAAGACCTCCTCTGGGGTCCCCTCAGCTCTTTCTTGAACTTTTCCAACGTGGTTCAGTAAGTCTCCCACTACCCAACTAGACAATTTTCATTGAAGGCTGAGATTATTACATCATTGAATTGATCCACAACCATCTTCAAGTTTTCAGTGTCTCCTGATGTTCGGCAGATTGTACTCCTGAGCCAGTCTACTGTCTGCTCGTTAGTGCAGGTCATCCATAGGATTCCTGCGCTGAATGATGTTTTGTTGAACTGCGGTGGGTTACTGCTACTTGAGGGAGTAGCAAACATCGCCTCCACTAGAGTGCTCTGGATCAGGTCGACTTGGCTCTGATCAAGTGTAGTGTCCGGGTGGCATCCGTGAATTACTCTCAGCCGGATTCTTTTAGCTGCGTCGGTATATGAGCCAGTCTGGGCTTTCTTAGCTCTGATGTCTTTTTTCGGCGTCTGAGACTTTGATTTTTTGAGGTTTGGCTGGACTGGCTGGAGTCCATGTCTCAGCAGCTATCTTCTACGCCTTCGTAATCATTTTTCTCTCGGCCCCAGAGATTCTTTCGCTCTTGAGCCCGATATTTTTGATCTTCTCAACTAGCGAATCAGCGTCTTTGGTTTTATTCTCTAACGTTGTTGGAGCGGAGTCTTTGGTTGGTTCTCCGTGTATAGGGCTATCAAAGTCTGCTACTGGAGCTTCTCTGATAGTTGTTCTAGAAGGGTCCGAGTCAGAACTGACTCGGTTTGTTTTTCTTTTGTTTTTCTTGTGTCCATTTTGTTTTCACGAGTGATGGGAAAGGGTGTGGAGCCCCTACACAGGAGTAAGGCTAAATACTCTGGGACTTCGCTCGGTTTTCCAGTGGCTTCGCTTGAAATAAAAATCCTTTCAAAAAATTTTAAATTTCAATTTTTTATATTTTTGGAGATTTACTTCCGTTATTTTTTAGGTGTAAAAAAGAGTCCTTTTTTTATTTTCGCGGTTCAGTATAACGTACTTATTTTGGCAATTGCCTAATTATACTGCTACGGCTAGTCAGCTTCAGTTCGGAGGCCATGGGTTCCTTGTATACATCTTACCTTTGGGCGCCACCAAGTTAATTGTGACTTAACTAGGAAGATTACTTATTGATGTTATAACAAAACCTGTACAATTGGAGAGCTTATCAATAAAACAACTAATTAGGTACAAAAATGTATCTGGCTTCTTTATTAAAAATAATAACAATATATAGGGATAGCCAGGAGGTTATGAAAAAATGTATAGATTAATGCTTGTACCA